CAGTGCTGAAAACTGTCTGAGTGCCCAACTGCTTCATCAGTTCCTTCCAAAAAGAACTGGTAAAAGTCTTATCTCTGTCTGAGATGGCCATCTTAGGTTGGCCATGTAACTTGTAAACATTATCTAGATATAATTTAGCAACATCAGCTGCTGAATAGGGATGAGATAGGGCCAAAAAATGACTATACTTTATAAATTTATCCACTATAACCAAGATGCAATTCTTCTTGAATGAGGGAGGTAGTCCTTCTATGAAATCCATAGTGATGACTTCCCAAGCCTGATTAGGAACAGGTAAAGGTTGTAATAGACCAGGTTTAGGAATATGCTCCACCTTTGTTTGTTGACAAACTGTGCAACCTCTCACATAAGTAGTAACCATAGCTTTAAGTTTAGGCCAATAAAAATTAAACCTAACTCTGTAATAAGTAGCCTGAATTCCTGAATGACCACCTTGTGGAGAGTCATGCAAGGTTTGAATAATCTTCAACCTAAGATTTCCATGAGCCCCAATATAGACCCTTCCATTATATCTAAGAACAACATAAGAAAATTTCCAGTTACTGTCTACAGTAGGATTTATAGCCAGAATTGAAATCCAACTCTGAGCTAAAGTATCACCTTGATAACTGTCCTCCACCTCCTGCACCCAAGTAGGAATTAAAACTGTCACTCCTAAAGTAAAACACTGAGCTTGGTCTTCCCATCTTCTAGATAAAGCATCAGCAACAACATTTAATTTTCCCTTTCTATACTGTATAGTATAGTCCAGCCCCAAGAGCTTTGTTAATCCCTTCTTCTGAATAGTGGTAGTCAATTTCTGTTCCAACAGAAACTTTAAAGGCTCATGATCAGTTTTAATAACAAAGGGTCCACTCTCCAAATAATGTATCCACTTTGAAACAGTCAAGAGAATAGCAAGATATTCTCTTTCATAAATAGACAGTGCTGAATGTCTAGGACTTAGAGCCTTACTCATATAAGCAATAGGCCTTCCTTCCTGTGATAGAACAACCCCAACACCCCCAGAACTTGCATCTATTTTCAAGTAAAAAATCTTAGAAAAATCAGGCAATGCTAAAACTGGAGCAGAACACATAGCTCTTTTAAGGTCTTCAAGAGTTGTGTTAAAGGTCTACTAATAATACCATAATGTCTGATAAACCTCCTATAATACCCTGTCAATCCAAGAAATCCTCTCAAAGATTTAATGGTCTTAGGTCTTGGCCAAGTCTGCATTGCTTCTACCTTGCTAGGGTCAGTAGATACCCCTGCAGCAGAAATTATGTGACCTAAATATTCCACCTACTGTTGTCCAAAAAAACACTTGGACAATTTTGCAAATAATTTATTAACTTGCAAAACTTCCAAAACCAGTTGCAAATGCCTCATATGATCCTGCATACTATTGCTGTAAACCAAAATGTCATCAAAGAAGACCAAACAAATTTCCTTAGGAAGGAATTAAATAAAACATTCATATGATCCAGGAGCATTAGTAAGGCCAAAAAGCATCACCTTAAATTCATAATGGCCTTGATGTGTTCTGAAGGTTGTCTTATAAATATCTTCTGGTCTGATTCTAATCTGCCAGTATCCATACCTCAAATCAATCTTAGAAAAATAGACTGCCCCATGCAACTCATCCAATAAATCCTCCACTATAGGAATAGGAAATTTATCCTTGATTGCCATGCTATTTAAATGTCTATAATCCACACAGAATCTCCAAGTGCCATCCTTCTTTTTAATAAGAAGGAAGGGTGATGCAAAAGGACTTTTGCTAGGCTGAATAATAGAAGAGGAAAGCATACTAGCAATCTGTTTTTCTACCTCAACTTTCTGATTATGAGGAAACCTGTAGGGTCTAAGAGTAACAGGTGTAGCAGTAGGATTTAGAGGAATAACATGATCATGAGTCCTCTGAGGTGGTAATCCTTCAGGTTCAGCAAAAACAGTTTTATACTTGTCCAATAATTGTTTTATTTCAGTAGGAATAGGATGAGAATTCCCTGACATAGTCAATAAAACAATGTGAACCATAATATCTGAATCCCAAGCAGTCATTTTAAGTAAGGTAGCCCCTGAAATCTGTTGTAATTCTGATGAAGGCTGTTGGCCTTGAATACATATTTTTTCTCCTTGATGATCAAAACTCAAGGTCATATTATTGAAATCCATCAATATAGGGCTAAACAATTTCATCCAATCAACTCCCAACACCATATCACTACCACCCAATTTAAGTAATCTGAAATCATGTACAAATGTGTGTCCCTACATTTGTCATTCTACTTTGTTGCATCTAGTAGAACTGAATAATTGCTGACCATTAGCTACAGTGATAGCCAAAGGATAAGGGGTTGTAATTTGTATACCAGCATCAGCCCATTTTGGAGTCAAAAAACTGTGTACTCCCATTGTCAATTAAGATATTCAATTATATGCCCTGAATAGATCCTTGAATTCTCAATGTAGTATGTCCAATAGAGCCTGTAATCGCATTCATAGAAATTTCTAAAGTTTCCTCTTCTTCTTGTAGAGAGTGTTTTGAATCAGTAGGAAAAATTTCTAATGAATTTTCAGACTCCTCAGTAATCATATTCAATTGTCTGTTCTTACATTGGTGACTTGGAATAAATTTATCACCACACTTAAAACAAAGATTATTCTGCCTCCTGTAATCAATAATATTCTGCCTTGGATTCTGCACTGCTATAGGTTTTGAATTAACTAGCAGTGAAGTAGGTTTAGAACTAATAATGGGGCTTGGGTAGGGTGGGAATTTAAAATTAGGCCTCAACCTTCTATTTTCAAACTCAACAGATAACTCATAAAGTTTTGCCTGTTTACATGCTTCAGACAAATTCTTAGGATCCAAAGCCTTGACCCTATGTTAGATATCATCTCTTAGCCCACTAATAAAAAGTGAAACAAAAATTCCTCCGTTAAAGTGGGGCTTTGTAACATCATATGAGGTTGTAATTCCTCAAATCTTTCTTGATAATCCTCAACAGACCCTTTTTGAGTCAATTTAGTAAACTCCACAATATCAGAAAAGGTTCTATCACTAAATCTGTGACACAAATCAGCTTCAAACTCATGTCATGTTACATGGTGTTTTTGCATAATATACCCATCAAACCAAATTTCAGCCTTGCCTGTTAAATACATTGTAGCTACTTCCACCCTCTGCTCAACAGGAACATTACAAATAGAAAAATATTTCAGGCATTTCTGAATCCATCCTCTAGGATTAACCCCTTCAAAGAAGGGCAGTTCTATTTTAGGTCTATGCCACATAGTTCCTGCACTGCTAAATGAACCCCCTGACCCCTTTTTTTCATCTTCTAATCCCAACATAATAGGCCTAGATTCACTGTTTTCACCCATTTGATTCATAGGCTTAGAACTGCTTTTAATGGCTAAACAAGCATCATGTTTACTCTTTAATATCCCAGGTTCATCCGTTTTATAAGTAAATCTAGATTTGTCATTCACCACAGTCACCAAAACAGGGCTTTTCTCCTTATCTTTAGAAGTATTAGGAGATTGTACCTGGTCTCCAGCAGACTGCTCTTGCTCCCCTGTTTTGCCTGTCAAAATTCTAAGCATTTCCTCAACATAGCCATGATTAGTAGCCATTCTGGACTCCAAAGCAGTGATTCTATTCTCCTAATTTTCCCACCATTTAGGTGGATCAGTTTCATCTTGGCCTTTCTTCACCAACGCAACTAGATCCTCAATTTGTTTTTGAATCCGAGACAAATCAGTTTCTGCCATAGCTTGATTCTTCTTTGGCATACCCACTAAACTTTGCCAGAATCGAGGCTCTAATTACCAATTATTATAGAATAAGAGAAAAGAGTAGATTCAAGAAAAGAATTTAGAGAAGATAGATAGTAGAAAAGGAATTCATCATTCATTGCATAATGAAAATTGTGATTACACAGCAGTTTTATTTAGTTACAGGCTGTACAGAGAATCTAACAATGCCAGTTGGCATTCTCTACTAACAAACTTCCTAACAGACTGATATTTCATTCCTTATCTATTGCAGGAACTGGGCCGTCCTGGTTGGGCCACTCCACCTTGCTCTGGATCTCTTCAGCCGGCTTCAACCCATTAGGTAATCCTCGTGCTTCAATTCCTTCAATTCCCTCTTTTATTTCAATTCCCTCTTTTATTTCAATTCCCAAATTGCTCTCCATAATCCCTAACCCTCGTTCCTCTCTTCCCAATTCCTCTTCGCTCCTTCGATTGCTCTCCATAATCCCTAACCCTCTTTCCTCTCTCCCCAATTCCTCTTCACTCCTTCGTTCTTCCTCTTCTCCTCCGACTTCTCCTCCGACTCTAACAGATACCCTCTTTGTATTGGTGTACCGTTTTGTAATAGTTCTATATTCAATAAATCAAGGCACTCTTTTCCTCCTTCCGCTAGTTACTCTTTTCTAGAGTTAACTAAGAGGGAGGTTTTAATGAGGCCTATTATTCCTATAAAAAAATATATATATTTTTGATGACTGTAAACCTAAAATTTATTTTATCATGGTTCTCTTGTTAACAATCCGAAAGAGAATGAATTTTGGGTATCTAATAAACACTTCCTTTAGATTTAACATGTTGAAATTCAGGAATTAGTATAGGCTTGATTGCAGGCTTCAATGGCTTCTGGTTGGATGTAACAACTTGCTGAAATTCAAGAACTTAACAGACTGGATTATGTGTTTGTGGAACTCAATGCTATCAAATTGGATGGTATTCTGGCTTGATTGATAAACAATACCCATTCTGCAATTAATTGTCAAATGTTGATATGAATAGGCCGTTCACTTGTATGATTTTGTTTTATATTATTCTTGTCTCTTAAGCTTTAAACTATTCCTCTGGGTATAGAAATGCACTTGATTTGGCATTTATCCGCTTGCATTTAAATTAAGATGACTTTCTTTTTTTCCTTTTTTAATAGCCTGGCCACAATCCAGATCATCAAAGGCAATTAATGGTACCTGAGCTCCAAACACAGGCCCAAGGAAACAGTCAGGCAATTCCGTCTTTCAATGGGTTGACTCCTGCTTACCATTGTCATCCTCAGCAGCAGCAGCAAAGGCCTCCACAGCAGCCCCATGCACCGAGTAAACCTCATCATGCTACTGGGTCACAGCAGCAAGCGTATGCCATGCTCTTAGCTAAAGAAAGGCATATGCAGCCGGAGCAGTTTCATATGCATCAGCAACAGCAACAGTTTACTGCCTCTAGCAATTTCATGCCACATGTTCAACCTCAGACCCAATTTCCTATCTTTTCTCTTAAGAATAGTTCCCAGATTCAATCCCAAGCTTCAAATCAACCAGTATCACTCTCCATGACGACATCTTCACCAAGTACTCCTATCTCAATGCAAAACCAACAGAAACACAACTTGTCCTCTCATGGGATTGGTAGGAAGCCCCAACTTGGTGCTAGTGTGTTGAACAATCAGATAGGAAAGCAACGGCAGCAGCAGCCTGTACAGCAGCAGCCTGTACAGCAGCAGCAACAACAGTTTCAACAGTCTAGCAGGCACCACCCTCAGCAAAGTCAACAAATGCAGTCTCAACAGCAAGCTAAACCTTTGAAGGGAGTGGGAAGAGGGCTGATGCATCAGAACCTTTCTGCTGATCTTGCTCATCTGGATGGTGTTGGCATGACCCCTAGCAACCAATGTGCCAAGAAAGGAGAGCATATAATGCAATTAATGCAAGGTCACAGCTTGTCTTCTGTGCCAGGTGTGAGCCCTGTCCAACCATCTAAACCTCTTGCTTCTTCTCAACCTTTGAAGAATTCCCAACCGCAGCAAAAGCTAATGTCTGGGGCAGCAGCACCTTCTACAAAGCAACTCCAGCAGATGGCTTCCCAGTCCGATAATAGTTCTAAAGGCCAGGTGTCGCCAGTGCCTTCTGGTCATGCACTATCAGCTGTGCATCAATCCGTGCCACCAGCAGCTATGGGTTCACACCAACAGCATTTACAGCTACAATCACAGATGAACCAAAATCAGGCTAATCAAAACCAATAAAGTGTTCAAAAGACGCTTCAACAGATACGACAAGTGAATTCTGATTCTTCAAGAAAATCTCAAGCTGAGCCAATTCAAGCTGGGCAACGGCCCAGAAATAATGCTTCACAGATGGTTGCAACCACAACCATGGCAATGGATCAGGCTGGCACTGATTTAGTTAATAACATGGTACCTGTTGTTTCTCCTTCTGTTCGTTCTCAGTGGAAATCACTGGAATCAGTGTATGATCCTGGTACACCAAATGTAGCCACTGAAGTGGGATCTATAGGCGGCAGTCCTCTTACAACTTCACCTTGTAGCGATCCAGGACCTTCTGTCAGCCAAGGGCTAGGACAGAGACAATTATCAGGCGGCTTACCCCCTCGTGGAAGTAAGGCTGGAGTACAGTGGTCGCAAAAGCCACAGATACAACAATCTCCCATACAGCCAACAATTCAACAACACCACCAGCCACAAGAACAATTACAACAAGATCAGCATAATTCTCCCACACAACGGTTGCCTTTGAAGCAGCAGTCACAAGCACAATGCACAACATCAAACTCTGAATCTGCAATCAGTACAGGGCAACTTGTATCACAGGCCTTCTAATTCTAAGCTGGAGTGAAGTAATATAGTTGATGGAGCAGTGATGACAGTTATTGGTCCTGCTAGGGTTGGGTTTGCATGCTCTTGTAACAACAGTGTACAGGTAATGACAATATACAAATTTAGGCAGGTCTGATAGTGTTACTATATTTTAGGTTTCCATGATAGGCAAAACTAAAACATGCAGAATTATCATACTGTTGTGATATATCAATGATGATAAATGATCCTCTCATTGTTGTTAAGAGAGTTGTAAAGCTTTTCTCAATCTCCCTCCCAATGCACCCTTCACTTGATTTGAGGCCTCAAAATTTTGTGGATGGCTACTTTCTACAGCTAACTAGCTGTGGGTGCTTGGCCATGTAACTATTTGAATCTTGTAAATCTGCCACTTTTCCACTTTCTTTTTGTTTATTTCTTTGCATCTAAATTTTCTTGAACTTGAATGGAGAGTGAACACTAATTGAGTTGTGCGTTCTGTGCAGATGAAGCAGGATAATCCATTAGGGCATAACATTTGTGGAAATAGGTCATTGCTATTTCAGGTTACAAATTCACTAAAATGGACTTTTATTTTTGTTTCTACTTCCTTTGCGGGTTTTGGGGGAATAATGTATATGGCTGTGTTAGAGTATAGAGAAGACGGAGACAGATATAGAGACATTTGTAAATAGGTCACATCTTCATTTTAATGGTTCTTTCTTCCTCTTTTTCCATGGTCTCTGTGGAAGGGGCCTTATTTCCTCTTGCCCCACTAATTTTAGTTGATGTATTATTATCCTTTCAGATCAAAGTTGGTAGCAACCATTTTTATGGGCAAAACCTTTGGAAATTTGTGGATATATAAGGTTTCTGGTATACACATTGGCCGGTGGCATTAGAATGACTGGCATTTGAATCCCGGAGTTTGCAGTTGGTTCATGCAGGGTAAAATTCAGCGGGTCTGGGATTCGAATCCCACTATCTGCGTTTTCCCTATCCCTAGGTAGCAGCCTCTTGTAAATCATCGATGCCATTCCTTTTCCATTTCCTTGTGTGAGTAATTAATACACTAATTACGAGCCCTGGGCCGGTGTATCTTAAATGGATTATTAAATTTGGAGTTAAAACACTGGTCCTGTCTTGTCTGAAGGTTTAAAACCCACAATTTTGGTGCCATCTGAAGAGCACTCTGGATCTGATGATTTGATTTGTTTTAAATTTGGTGCAGATCAATGGCCTATGGGCACTCCACAAAAACTGCGTTGCATCTCATCCGGCGCATCCTTTTATCTAATTTGGTTTCCCCCTGTAACTGATGTGAACAATTAAGTGCAGAGCACTTTGGGGTAGTGAGATTATTTCATGTTTTAGTTGAGTATTTTCTAGGGATGTAAAATCGGGTAATCGTTCAGGTTTTAGTCGGATCCTGTCAGGTCGGGTAAAATCGGATACAGGTCAAGTCAGGTAAATTTGACACAAGATCCAGATCGGGTTCAGGTCAGGCCATTTTCAGTTCGGATCGATGTCAGTTCAGGTTAAAACAGTTCAGGTCCGAAGCAGATAAAGACCAGGTTAATTCAGGTTCGGGTGGACTTCAGTCGAATCTCGTTCAGATCGGGTCACATCATTGACAGATAAAATTCAGGTCGAATATTTACCGGATATGGATTGAGTTCATGTCGGGTCGTTTTTATTTTTGGATTAATTATTTTATCATCTTTCGTGATTGTTGAATTGCAAGTTGTAATTGTATATGATTTTGAGTAAATTAAGAGAAAAAATAAATATCTATGGATCAATTTTGTAAAAAATATAAATTTAAGGATAAAATTGAAGAAATGTAAAATTACAAATAAAATTTTAAAATATAAATTAAACGACACACATAGGTAAGGGATTAAATCGAAATAAATTTAAAATATGAGGTTTAAATTAATATAAAAAGGAGTAAATTAAACACATTTAAAAAGTTATGGACCAGTTGCAAAAATATAAAAAACTACTAATAATGAACTAAATGAAGATGCAAATATAAATTTAAGGACTAAATTGAATACATATAAAAGTGAAAGACTTAAAATTAAAATAAATTAAAAAAATATTAAATCGAAATAAATACAAAATGTGAAGAAATAATGAAAAATATAGTAAATTATAATCATTTAAAAAATTAAAAAATATAATATATATATATATATAATATAAGTTTGTATATAAACTATATATATATATATATATATATAAACTATATTTATATTATAAACTATATAATTATTATAAGTTATATATATAAATTATGTTTATATGAACTATATATATAAACTATAAAAAATATATAATTTATAAACTATAATTTATATTAATATAGTATATATATATTATTCAAAGTGAGTGATGGAAGAAAACTATTTAAAATAAATATTTTTTTTGTGTGAAATTTTTTGATTTTATTTGGGAATTTAGAGGGAATTTGAGAATTTAGAGAGAATTTGAGAATTTAGAGGGAAATTGAAAAACTTAGAGGGAATAGAAAATTTTGGAGGGAAATTGAGAATTGAGATTTTATTTGGAAATATATTTTGGGTTAATTAGGCTCATGCTCCTCCAACAATCATCATTTTCCACTTGTATTTGATTTTTTTATTTCTTTCATTTTAGTCATGGTTTAATTGTAAATATCTTCTTGAATTTTCAATTCGATGCAATTTAATTTTGTATACATTCTAATTACTTTTAGTTTTCTATATATATATATATATATATATATATATATATATATATATATATATATATATATATATAATATATATATATGTATGTATGTATGTATATATAATATATATATGTATTATATAATTATAATTTATATTAATATAGTATATATATGTATGTATAACTAATATAAGTAATCTATAAATTATATATGTATATATTATAAAAACACTATGCATAAACTATATAAAAAGTAATAAATTATATAGTTTATAAAAACCTTAAACCCTAAACTATATATGTAACTTATAGTACATGTATGTATAAACCATGTATAGTATATATATATATATAAACTATATAAAGTAAATTACTTATATAGTTTATAGAAATACTATGTATAAACTATATAAAGTAATAAAATATATAATTTTATAAAAACCCTAAACCTTAAATCATAAACCCTAATATAAATAGACTAGCACTAATGCATATATATTTGTAATAAAAGAGTGGGCTTATGTATTGGGCCTATGTAAACTAATGTAAATGGACTTATTTTTTATTTTTATTATTACTTATTCATAACAACAAAATAAATGAGCTATTAATGTGAATTAACCTAACATGTAACTAAAATACTAATTATGCAGATGAAATTAATATGACATGTACTACTATTTATGAACCATATAATATGCAATGTGACATACTAATTATTTAACACCTAATTAATCATGTTTTATATAATTTACATTTAAATAGTTTTATTAATTTTATTAAATAATTTTATATAATATGTATGTATAAACCAGGTATAGTATATATAAACTATATATATATATATATATATATATATATATATATATATATATATATATATATAAAGTAAATTACTTATATAGTTTATATAAACACTATGCATAAACTATATAAAGTAATAAAGTATATAGTTTATAGAAACCCGAAATCATAAACCTTAAACCCTAAACTTTAAACCATAAACCATAAACCCTAAACCCTAATATAAATGGACTAGCACTAATGCATATATATTTGTAATAAAAGAGTGGCTTATGTATTGGGCTTATGTAAACTAATGTAAATGGACTAACTATTGCAAATGGACTTATTTTTTGGTTTTATTATTACTTATTCATAATAACAAAATAAATGGGCTATTAATGTGAATTACCTAACATGCAACTAAAATATTAATTATGCAAATGAAATTAATATAACTTGTGCTACTATTTATGAACCATATAATATGCAATGTGACATACTAGTTATTTAACACCTAATTAATCATGTTTTATATAATTTACATTTAAATAATTTTATTAATTTTATTAAATAATTTTATATAATATGTATGTATAAACCAGGTATAGTATATATAAACTATATATATATAAACTATATAAAGTAAATTACTTATATAGTTTATATAAACACTATGCATAAACTATATAAAGTAATAAAGTATATAGTTTATAAAAACCCTAAATCATAAACCCTAAACTTTAAACCATACACCCTAAACCCTAATATAAATGGACTAGCACTAATGCATATATATTTGTAATAAAAGAGTGGACTTATGTATTGGGCTTATGTAAACTAATGTAAATGGACTAACTATTGTAAATGGACTTATTTTTTGGTTTTATTATTACTTATTCATAACAACAAAATAAATGGGCTATTAATGTGAATTAACCTAACATGCAACTAAAATATTAATTATGCAAAGGAAATAAATATAACATGTACTACTATTTATGAAACATATAATATGTAATGTGACATACTAATTATTTAACACATAATTAGTCATGTTTTATATAATTTACATTTAAATAATTTTATTAATTTTATTAAATAATTTTATATAATATGTATGTATAAACCATGTATAGTATATATATATAAAAAACTATATAAAGTAATAAAGTATATAGTTTTATAGAAATCCTAAACCTTAAATCCTAAACCCTAAACCTTAAATCATAAACCCTAAACTTTAAACCATAAACACTAAATACTAAACCATAAACCATAAACTTTAAACCATAAACACTAAACACTAAACCATAAACCCTAATGTAAATAGACTAGCATTAATGCATATATATTTGTAATAAAAGAGTGGGTTTATGTATTGGGCCTATGTAAACTAATGTAAATGGACTAGCACTATTGCAAATGAACTTATTTTTTTGTTTTATTATTACTTATTCATAACAACAAAATAAATGGGCTATTAATGTGAATTAACCTAACATGCAATTAAAATACTAATTATGCAAATGAAATTAATATGACATGTACTACTATTTACGAACCATATAATATGCAATGTGACATACTAATTATTTAACACCCAATTAATCATGTTTTATATAATTTATATTTTAATAATTTTATTAAATAATTTTATATAATATGTATGTATAAACCATGTATAGTATAGTATATATATAAAAACTATATAAAGTAAATTACTTATATTGTTTATAGAAATACTATGCATAAACTATATAAAGTAATAAAATATATAGTTTATAGAAACCCTAAACCTTAAACCATAAACACTAAACAATAAACCATAAACCCTAATGTAAATGGACTAACACTAATGCATATATATTTGTAATAAAAGAGTGGGCTTATGTATTGGGCCTATGTAAACTAATGTATTGCCAAAATTATTTATATTAATAATGTAAAACGTTAATATATATTACATAATAAATACTTTCATTATTAATATTAATTTTTTCTTTATATAAATTAAACTATATAATTTATATAAATTAAACTATATTAATTTTCATTGTCATTATTAATCATGTTTTATCTAATTTACATTTAAATAATTTTATTATTTTATTAAATAATTTTATATAATATGTCTATTTATTAATTTAATTATCATAATAAATATTTTATTATAACATTTAAAAAGTAATCATATTGATTTTTTAATTACATCATAAATTAAAAAACTCATAATTTTATTAAAATCTTATAATTTCGTCCATGGTAATATATAAGTCAGGTAAATATCAGATCAGATCATTAACAAGTCGGATCATTTACAGGTCAGGTTAAAAACAGGTCAGGTTGAAAACAGGTCAGGTTGAAAATAGGTCGGGTAATACCAGTTATTTACCAGGTCAATCTCGGGTTCGGGTTTATATCAGTCGGATGCAGTTCGGGTTCAGATCCACAATTTTCAGGTCCAACTCGGGTTCAGGTCAACACCAGTTCCGACTCAAGTCGGTTTTGGATCATCACAGCGCAGGTCAAAAACAGTTTTAACTCAAGTCGGTTTCAGTCAATTTTACTGGTCGGGTCAGTTTTTTACACCCTTAGTATTTTCCATTATGATTCGAAGTTATAACTAGTGTCACTTGTAAACAAACCCCACCCCCTTACATTTAATGTAAAACTTGGTTATGCATGTTTTCATATTTGTCTATTTTACTGTCATGTAAACTATGTACATAAAATTTTCAATAAATTAGAAATGGTTATTGTTTGATGCAAAAATGATTTCTATTGTCAAATGTATGCATATATAGTATAGAAGATTCTTAGATGGGATTGTATCAAGGACAAAGGGACAGGTTACTACAACTTGTGGAATTTAACAAGCAGCAATTAGCTCAAACTCGAAGAATACCGAGTATGGATTCCCTCGAATTTAGTCCCACCTTGCATAGTGTTAAAGCTGCTTTAGCTCTATCCACAGGTTTGCAATGTCAAATTTCAAGTGTTCAGTGTCGGTATTTAGATGGTTTTTCATTAACAGTGTTTATCAGTTTTACTATTTTGCATCAGATATCGAATCAAAAGTACAATGGTTAAATTGCCTAATTCTGTAGCACGTGAATCAAATTGCTCTTTCTTTTAGAACACATGATATGAGGGTGCCTTTGGTTGGGATTCTCATCGGTAATGTAAGATTCTAAAATGATATTTTCTTGTTCGATTTCAAAATATTATTTGACGAATACGATATAAGATTATTAGTTGTAAACACTATTTCAGAGTACGTGTGTAATGTAATTATCTTTACATTTCAGTAATATAATATTTACATGGAATTTTGGACGATTTTCCCTTCGAATTTATTGTCCATAGATTAGGTGATTCGTTCTTCTCGATTTGAATATAATTAAAAATATATTTAAATTTAAATTTAAATTTAATTATATATATATATATATTAATATAAAGTTGCATGTTAATTATTTTATTATTTTTTAAATTATACAAAACATACTACAAATCGAGTCACAGCACAAATATTTAAAAAAAAAAAAACAATTTAAGCACAAATCGGCATGAAAAATATGAACACGACACAAATCTAAAAATATAAGAATTTTGCATAAATAAACTATGAACATATAAAAAATTATATAAATTTATAGCACTTTAAACGTTTACAAGAAACAACGGCATGAACTCAAACCTTGTGTGATCAATAACTTATCTTCATTTTACCTTTATACAAGGCCTCCTCTTGAAACAGTATACCTCACCTCCGCAAAAACCAACTCTCCCTTGACATCCTTTATATGAAAAATTCTTTTTGATTTCATATATGTACTAGCTTTAACCTGAGTGTCCCATAGATGCAAGATATGAGAGTTGAATACTGTATGCGTCTTTCAGCTCTGCAAATACCTCTGCGATGGTTGGTCTCAACGACGCATCTCTCTCGACGGATTTTACTGCAACTAAGGCTGCCTTTCTCATGCTCTCCGCGTCGAATGTTCCCTTTAAGCTATCATCCACTATCTCAAACGCACTTGCCTGCAAGTAAGGCTTTGCCTGCAATGAAACCAAGTATATGAACCAGTTCTTTTAGAGAGCTACGTGTTGAACTCTAAGTTTAATGTTATCAAACTCAGACGAAGAACTTGATTACCCATAGAACTAGATTGAAGGAATCCGGACTTCCGGAATGACTCAGTGGTTCTCTTCCACATATGAGCTCTAAAAGTACAACACCAAAACTGTAGACATCGCTTTTCTCAGTCAGCTGTTTGGTGGAATAATAGCTGCAGATGAAATGAGTCGACGGTACGGTGACAGGAATGTCAATTGAGTTTGGTGAAGTTAAGGCTTTGATTTAATGAACTTAACTAAGACTTACTCGGGATCTAGATAGCCTGCGGTGCCTTTGACAACAGTCGTCACATGAGTTGCATCGGCTTGAGTTACTTGCTTAGAGAGGCCGAAATCACAGACCTTGGCATTCATCTGAGCGTCCAAAAGGATGTTACTGCACTTGACATCACGGTGTATGATTCTCGGGTCGCTCCCATTATGCAAGTAGTCCAGCCCTTGAAAAGATACAGAAATAAATGTGAAGGTTATGCTAGAAGTATTGCATCATTAATATTAAAAAAAGGCCCACAAATTCTCTGAAACGGCTACTTCTGTTTTAGATGTTATATCTACCCAAGTTCATCTGGTCTGAAATGTTCAAACTGTAAAACATGAATCCTTCACATTGCTAGACAGAACAGACATACCTTTTGCAGCATCAACAGCTATTTTCAGTCTCCGAATCCAGCTTAAGGAAACCTTTTGACTATTTGAACCTGGAAACAGAACATCAAGATCAAACCGGGGCATACTTTTAGCAGATGAGAGGAACATATTTAAAGGATAATCATGAACATGTTAAGTATTTTATTAAAGAAAAAGGCACACCATGGAGGTGACCAGCCAGTGATCCACCGGGTAGATACTCATAGACTAGTATCTGCTGCTTTGATTCATAACAAAATCCTTCCAAGCACACAAGATTTTGATGTCGAATTTTCGACAAGAGATGAACCTGCAGGCATGAGAATAGCAACTCTTACTGGATCAAGGAAAAATGAATCAAACTGAAATAATACTTAAAGATGATCTTTTATCAATGGTCTAGATGATTGCATAGAGTCTTCAGTTAAGTTCATCAAATGAATACCTAGAAAATTACTGAGCTCACACTGATTTATGGGTTAGACAAGGAAATCAGAGAGAGGTTTAATGATAAACCTCATTAATAAAAGAGTCTGCACCCAATTGAGTTCGATCGAACCGCACTTTTACAGCCACCAGTTTGCCATCTGATAGCTTTCCAAGGTAAACAGATCCAAAGCCACCACGGCCTATGACTTCCTTAAAATTGTTTGTTGCTGTTTTTATTTCTTTGTAGGTAAATATTTTCGCAGCATTCCAGTTTCGCATATCAATTTCTGCACCTGAATCTGAGAAAAATGTGCATATATGAATCATGTTGTCGATTCTCATGGTAACAATGATGTAAATAACAGTTACATACTTGTAGTATATGCGGCTTCAGTTTTCCTTTTCTTTATGTAGAACAATACTAAAAGAGAAATGAGAAGCAGAGCAAATACAGCTCCCCCAGCTGCACCAAGTATAATGGCTAAATGCGTATGTCGAGTGTGCTTCCTATTTCTAATAATAGTAAATTGTGGTGTCTCATTTGAAGGATTCGATGAGGCATCGTTGCATGCCATTGTTGAGAAGGAAAGGCACAAATTCCCTGATGTTCTGCACAAATATTGATCCATTCGGATGCATGAATACGGATTTCATATATATATGTCAGAGAATAAAAGAAAAAGAATAACAGAGCCATACCTAACTTGCAAGCTTCCTCTGTTCAAAGATAGGGGGAGGGTACCTTGCAATTTATTATTCTCCAGGTTCCTGAAGAATGAACTAACACAGTTTTTCATTCAATTCTTCTGATATTACAACGGTATTTATGGAAGTTGCTTACAGCAAGTGCAGATTCTCTAACTCTCCCAAGCTGTCGGGAACCATTCCCTGTAAACTGTTATTATGCAAGTCCCTGCATGTAGAAAAATAACAATGATGCAGTACAAGTACAGTCAAGAAAAAAATTTGTGAGAAAATATAACAACCTTTGACTGTAAAATCTCAATCAATAATAAGAAATGATAGCAACTTACAGAATTTTAAGGTTAACCATGCTGTTTAAATCGGAACCAAAGGATGTTAGCTGATTAAAACTCATATTCCTGAGAATTTAGTGAAGATATATTATTATTCTTTGCTATTGAATGAAGATACTAATAAAAGATGAATGCGTTGACCAAAATTACAATTTCTCAAGATGCTGCATATTGCCCAGATTTTCTATTGCTCCTGAAAGTGATGTGTTATGCAAATCCCTGAAAGAAAATGAAGTATTTATTTAACGGATGCCATATTATTAAGAGTTAAAGAAAGTTCAAGACATTACAGTATTCTAAGATCCAGCAAGTCACCAAATGTTGGACTAATTGATCTCAAGTTGATGTCTGAAAGGTCCCTAAGAGAAAAATGATAAGTTCATATGAGTATTTAGCCGAGGTAAAACTTGAAAATCATAAGCATACAGTTCAGTTTTTGCACATACAATGATGTTATTGTACTTCCTTCACAGTCAATATGATCCCATGGAGTTGGGAAGCATGGATCATCTTGCCACCCAAGATCAAGACCGGTAGACTGCTCAATAACTTGAAGTGCTGAAATTGTAGTTGAAGAAGACTCTGGTGGAATATCAACAATTTCATAGACTTCAACCGCATTGATTTGAGGGTAGAATTTGATTCTCTTAAGTGCAATATCCAGGCTGGTGATTCCCTTTTGTGTAAAATATGAAGTTCTGGTTTCTGAGGTTGTTATAGTGAATTCTGATTGCTGAACAACCCCATTGATTAATATATCGAAAGAAGCAGAAACTGGAAGAATATCAGCAAAATGGAGGACAACATAGTATTCCCCTAACATATCTAGAGGTAAGTTATAATGTAAGACATCTTCTCGTGCGAGAACTCTAGCAGTCTGCAGCACTTCCATAGGAGGGCTCTCCTTTAGACTTGTTAAATTCAAGCCAAGAGGAATGTGGAAGCCTGGTGAGACATGAAAGGGGGAGTAACCTTGATCTGCATCCCAAATGCGGTCAAACGGATCTTCAGGGTACCTGCTTTTACCGAATTTAATTGTGAAACATTGTAACAGAAGACAGAAGTCATAGATGGAGATGGGCTACTAAACATTCTTACCTCAGTGATCCACTGGTGTAACCACTATTAATCCGATAGCGCTTACGAAGTGACTTATTCAGGAAATCTTCTATGCCACTTCGGTAAGCGCCTTGAGGAAGTGGCCGAACTTCAAGAGAAGAAATAACCGGCAATCCACCCTCCGGAATACCATGCAAGCAAAATGAGAGTGTTACCTTACTCACTGGCCATATGAACTCTTCAATCCAGGGATCCTTATTAGTTAGGTTCACGGTACTAATTATAGCCGTCCCAAGAGACACTAAGAAAGCCGGAGGCTTCCAACGTCCATCATAGTTCTTATACATAAATTGAGCTCTAACAAGAACCACAGATGATGCATTTTCCACTGGTAGTCTATAGCAATTGCGACGTTTCGATTCGGGGAAAAATCGAAGTGGGACACTGGATGAGGAGGTACCTGAATCCTCAACATAGTCAATGGTAGTCACGTTGCCTGTATTTATGAATGCATCATCTGAGACCCATGTTAACTTAGATGAATCCACGTAAGTCCTTGATCCACCACAAGTTAAGCTCAAGAAACCTGTCTCATAGCAAATCAAATGTAGATCAAACCTTTAAAAACAAAAGGAAGCAAGTAAATATAGCTAAACATAAAAAGTGAGAAACATGGATAAATTCAGCTAAACATTTACACAAACATGATAAGAGCAAATTACACATACCATCTTGATCACAGAAAACAACCCAAATTCCAAAGAACAAAATCAAGGTGACCCAGAAGCAGTTCATGGCCATAGAATCTACTAAGAACGTGAAATGAAAGTATTTTGAGTAAAAACATAGTGGGTGCTTTAAATCCTTAAAAGAAGCTTTAATAGGAATAGAATTAATAAGAGTAATTATCAAGTTTGCATCATTGGTAGTTAGGGGTGGATGCACTAAGCCCTGTATGGGTAAGTGCATCTCATTAAATTGGAAAAACGATTAAATTTAGTTTAATGAGTAAGAAGAAAATATAAAAATTTTACATAAATTAAAATTCTTAAATTCTTAAATTTCTGAATTAAATTTTTGAGCATAAGTGATTGAGTAAATAGGAGTGCAAGTAATGATGATTAAGGAGTCTGAATGGCTAAGGTTCTGGGTCAATGATGATTATGCTAACTAACGCCACTACTGCCACATTGATGCTACCGTTAGCAGTTGTTGAAAAGCAGATAAAAAAATGGCCAACTCCTTGTGGACCAAACTCAAAATGGAAAACAATGAAAACCAGTTAACAAACAACACTTGTACTTTCTATAGCTTTCACTATATTTCTTCTCCATTCATCTTTGTAGGGGAGGTTATTGAGTGACTGAATTATGAGTTGACTAGTGTTCAGCTCGTGCTGATCTTGACTCCTGATCGTTCAAAAATTTATAACTTAACTCGTTAAGTTTATTAGAATTTTGGTTTCGTTATTTTTAGAATATATATAAAATCTATTATATTAATCAAAAAATATATAAAAAATCTATTAATACTATATAAGACTTAATATAACATAAATTAATAAATTTAACAAAATAATGATTAAAATAACGTGAGAAGCAATTTCAATGTCTAAAGTATCAATCTACAAATATACAAAACTAACATATTACAATCAAAGTAACAATTCACAAATACATTAAAGTAACATATACAATCATTCTTTAAAAATGTTTAACAATACGTAATCAATCTTAAAAATAAGACAATCAGCGTATTAAAAAATCATTTAAAAAATTAACGAGATAAATTTATTGAGTCGAGTTAAACCTTATTTGATTCTACTCGTTAAAGTCTCGAATCGAATTTAAATTTAAATCGAATGAACTAAAATCCAAACATTAGATTTTGATTGAATTTAGATTCGAATTTCCCACTACCTACTTAACTAAATTAGCACTCCCATATCTTTGTACTTTAATCAAAATTATATTAAAAATATAAATGAATAAATATTGGGACTATACGAGTCTTGAGTAGAGATGCAATCATAAGGGTATTAAAGCAAAAAACGACGGTCCAATTATTTTAAACTGGTGGGCCCTGTAATGCAGAAAAGAAAGCTTGACGGATCAACATCAATACAAATGATGTCTTTTGGTTCAACCTTTGCTTGCAGATTGATTCTCAACCCAGAATGTATCTTACCAATAAAGAAAAGCTGCTATATTAAAAGTTCTGAATATATATATATATATATATATGTATGGATAAAACCCCGCTCAATTTGAAAATTCTAAATTTCTCGATTTGATTCGATTTGAAAAAATTAAAATATTCAACTCTACTCGACATTAGAAAAATCAACTTAAATGACTCAGCTCGTAAATTATAAACTCGAATCACTAAAAATTTCAAATAAACTTAAAGTTATTATAAAATAAAACTCGAATAACTCAAAATTTTTATTAATTAATAGATTGATTTCACGTTTGAATCAAGTCTCTCAACTCTGCATGATATATGTATATCGCATGTAAAAAACATGAAAAAAATATGTATATCGTGTATGGTTATAAAAAACCGTTTAAAATGAAACAAATTAGTATCGTAATGTTATAAACATTTACAATTAAATCTAAATGTAAATTCAAACAAATCAACTCGACTCGATTGAGAATTGAGCTAGATTGACACTAATGTTTGGACTGTTAAACCGAACAAAACTCTCCTTCTATGTGTTAGAATCAACAAGCACGGACGCCATTTCATTCAACGTGAAGAGCTCTCAATTAGCTGTTATGACAGCAACAAACGATCTATATCTTACTGGTGAGGCATTCAAGAAAGTGGCAATTCATTCAAAGTGTGATATTGGCGCCGTCAAAGCATCACAAATTTCTTCCATCTGTGAAATATATAACCGCATGCTGGTTGTTTTTTTTCTCCTGCTGGATTTGTATAATCTAAACTAATGTTCAAATCATCGCAGTTCCTGGTGCCCCCTTTTCAATGTAAGATTTAAGATTGTTTCATTTTTTTCCCACTTAGGGTATTTCTGCCGTACGAACGACTTTAATATACGGTTAAGGAAAGACGCTACCGGAAATGTTATTATTTTTTTTAACATTTTGGTAAAATTCCTAATATTAACATTTCCAGTAAAAAAAATAATGTTTTAGATAGCGTTTTACCGGATATGTTAAACATTTCCAATAAAGCGTTTAATAATAACATTTCCGGTAAAAATAATAATGTTTTAGGTGATTTTTACCGGAAATGTTAAAAAATAATATTTATGGTAACATTTTTCCTTAGCTACCGCACAAGAGACTTTCCCACCTACTTTTCCTTCTCATTTGGTAACCTTAAACTTATCTTTTTGAAATCAACCATGTCCTGCACTTCAGTCCTATGATTTATAAACAACGTTCATGTCAAATGCTAGCTGTGGCATGACTCCCATTTTGTACTCATCATGGAGATCTCAAATAAAACTAGTTCCCGACAAAAATGTCGGAATTTAAACAGTTGCTTATAAATTTATATATTAACATTTGTTTTCACTTTTAGTCCTTACTAGGACTACTGTGCTTAGTTATTTGGACTTTACAATGATGGATTTCAAGTTTTTTTAATAGTTTAACGTGATTACAATGTAATATTTATGTAGAATTTTTTTAATATATCAGTAATACACATAACACGTTCATATTCTCTTAGAAATACTAACATTATAAAACAAACATAGAAAGAGAAAATAACCCATTTTAAGAATCTAATGGGTGCTGCTCATGTTGTTTCAATCACCTTACAATAAGTTCTTGTTATATTTTGATCTAAATTATAATTGGTGATTAAGTTGAATTTTATTTTAATTCTAGTGGTTAAAGGTTACTTGATAATTAGGTTTATTTAATACAGTAAATATTTGTTTTAGGTAAGAATTCTTATTCCATAAGAATTTTTGGTCACCAAGAATTTTATTTTATAAATAGAGATTATGTCTTTGCCTTTATAGTAATGTGAGGGAGAATTAATTTGGAGAGATGTAATTATTTTTTGGATCTCTACAACTTTTGGAGCTTATGTTGCAAAAATAGTTTTGTAAAGGTGTTGGAAGAGTGTTTTGGGATATACCGAGTTTTGGGATACATACGATATTGTGTATTTGTACTCTTCGTGTTCTTTACGTTTATAGTGGATTATTATTTATATCACCGGTGGGGGGTAGACATGGTTGAACCACGTTAAATCTCGTCTCTTGGGCATGTCTTATTTTATGTTGATATCGCTTGGATTATTTTTCACTCTCAAATTCCTAACAAGTGATATTAGAGCTATGATTTAGGCAGTGAGTTTTGAAGGAATTTTTTGTTGCAGATTTTGTTAGCGATTTTAAAGACATGAAAGATGAATTTACTGCAATGAGTTTTTAGTTGCAGAGGAGTAATTCTTGATTGATCGAGTGATACTTTAATGGATTTTGCTTAAGAATTAAAGTTGTTGAAGACTTGACAACGATACTTCAATGGATATGCAGCTTACATAAAGATTGAAGTTTTGAAGACATAAAGACTATTTTTTGATGAAATTTAGGTCAAAGGGGAAATTTGTTATATTTTGATCTAAATTATAATTGGTGATTAAGTTGAATTTTATTATAATTCTAATGGATAAAGATTACTTGGTGTTGACGAAAATGGGTAAAGAAAACAAAAGAACACGAGAATTTTACGAGGTTCGGCAATGTGCTTACGTCCTCGGTGCCTAGGCGGCGCTAGAAGTTTTATTCAATGATATTTTAGGTCTAGGTTACATCTCTATTTATAATAGAAAATGCTGGTACATAATTACAAAATCAACCTTGTACCGTACCGCGGGGCTGCGCCCCCGCACCCCCAACCCACATAATTAGTAACCCCACAACGAGACTTTCTTTGTAAGGACAGTTGATGTTCGCTTCGCTCACTCCGCTCCATCTCCTGTCCTCTTTACTGGTATATTTATGAGCCATACCTAACAAATCTCCACCTTGGCGAATATCCTGCCCCTTGGAAACTTCAATGTGGGTTGGGTTACCTTGCTTCTTTAACAACTCGAAACATTCAACAAGTCCAAGCAATGCTTGAACTTGTCTGTCGTAACTGGCTTGGTGAACATATCAGCGACATTCTCATCAGTATGTACCTTCTGAAACAAAACCTCTCCAGATGCAACCAACTCTCTGATCTTGTGGAACCTTACATCAATATGTTTAGTTCTAGCACGATACACCTGATTCTTAGCCAAGTGAATAGCACTTTGATTATCACAAAGCAACTGAACTCCACCTTGTTGAACACCCAACTCCTTCACTAAACCAGTAAGCCATAAAGCTTCTTTTGTAGCTTCAGCCGCTGCCATGTACTCAGCTTCAGTTGTAGATAGAGCCACAATAGATTGAACAGTAGACTTCCAACAAATAGGCCCTCCACCAAGAGTAAACACATACCCTGTCGTAGATCTTCTATTATCCAAGTCACCTGCATAGTCTGAATCCACATATCCTACAACCAAAGGATTATCCCGTTGACTCCCAAAAACAATTCCATGTCCCACAGTACCCTTTAAGTACCGAAAGATCCACTTGCCTGCTTCCCAATGTTGCTTACCAGGTTTAGACATATACTTACAAACTTGACTAACAGCATGAGCTAAATCAGGACGAGTACATATCATCGCATACATCAAGCAGCCAACAGCATTAGAATACGGAACCTTTACCATATCTTCAGCTTCCTTATCTGTCTTAGGGCACTGTTCTGATGAGAGCTTAAAGTGATTCGCCAATGGAGCGCTAACTGGTTTCGCGCTGCTCATCGCAAACCTTTCTAGCATTTTCTCAACATAACCCCGTTGAGATAGCTGCAGTTTCATTGAGTCTCTGTCCCTGCAAATTTCCATTCCAAGAAT